CTCTGGTGGAAAAGTGGTCTTCCACCACAGATGTGGGCCAGGATATGGTGATGAGGAAAGGAAAGGGCTGTTGAGTGTATCCTGGGTGGTCACTGGGGAGAGTGTTTGTAGTCCCTTTACCTGGGCAGGGGTCTTACCTGGGAATCTAGGTACCAGCTTGGCCTCTGGTGGAGGACAGGGCATCTGCCAGAGATATGAGCCAGGATAGAATGTCAAGGAAAGGAGGGGCTGTTGTAGGTAAGCTGAGCAGACACTGTTAGAATGTTTATGGTCCACTAGTAGTGGGCTTACCTGAGGATCTTGGTGCTGATGTGGCCTCTGTAGGGAATGGGGCTTCAGCCAGAGGTGTGGGATGGGATAGGGTGACGAGGCGAGGAGGGGCTATTGATGGTAGGCTGGGTGGGCACTGGGGGAGTATGGGTGGGTGCCTTACCTGGGGTTCTGAGTGTTGATGTGGCCTCTGGTATAATAGGGGGGCTGAGACAGGAGACACAGGACTGGATGTGGTGATGAGGAGATGAAGGGCTTTTGAGGCTAGGATGGGCTACAGGAGGAGTGTAGGTGGTCTAAAGGCAGAGGGCTTGCCTGAGGATCTGGATGCTGGAGTGGCCTCTGGTGGAGGATCAAAATGTGCAAGTTTTACTAATGGCAATTTAATGATAGCTGTGGAGTCCAGTTTGAATGGATACATCTGCAAAGCAGTCCTTATACCTAAGGCTCAGGGAGCATTGCAGACAAAGGGGCAGAAAGGTTGTAAGGGTCAAGGATCAGGAAGTTTTATATAAAATTATGTGTCCTAGTAATATCAGAAGCTATACTTGTAATGTCTCACAAACACGACTCTACAAATATGCAAACATGAGCTGAACAAGGACAACAACAATTGACATGCTAAAGGGAAAATGAAAAAAGCACAGAAACTATACAAAGAACAGAGGCAACTAAGGAATATCTGAGAGCAGGAGAAACAGTCTTTTCCATGGAAGAGCATACCAGTTGGTTGTTCAGTACCAAATGCTCACCCCTGAAAACATGCATAGAAGTGACATTCTACCTACTAAGCAAGGAATATTATTTTTTCAGGGAAAAATATGAAGAGAGCAAGGAAGGGTATATGTGGGACAAGTGAAACCCTTTCCCAGACCCCTTCCCCCCAAAAAACCTGTTAAGCTTGTAACAGTTTAATTGGAGCACAAACATTGTTTCAGGTGTTCCTGTTAGTGAGAAAAATAAGCATTCCAATAAAGAAGCATGAAAAATTTGAGTTAAAAGGCATGAGCACTGTTTCAGGTGCTGCTGTTAGTGAGAACAAGCATTTAAGCAAAGAAATATGAAAATGTTTGGGGTAAGGGTATCAGGCGTCTTGCTTTCCAATTCTCAGCAGCAAGATCTCATCCATCTTTTTCTTGGTGGGCTCTTTGTGCCTATGGGGGAGCCTGCTCTGCCTCAGAGGCTGCTGGTCTTTTGCTCTAGCAGGCAGGTCCCTTTGTCCCTCCCTATGTGTGGTTTTTCTTGGCTGGTGTTGCTACAGTGTTTGTGCTTTTTCACCCAAAATTGTTCTAAAAATGTCAATTTGTTTAAAATTTATTTTAAGCTTCAAAAAAAATCATATTTAATCTACTCCCCACAGGTCAAACCAACTCACTAATAGCCATTATTTAATCCTTAATTAACAAAATAATACCATCTACTTAAGCCAGTTTCCTTTTACAGACAAGCTGTTACTGACTATCCCAGATACATAATTACTATAATATTTTCTTCCTCAGCCATCTAAAGCAGATAAATTCCCAACTCTTCCCTCTGCTTTCCTTAATACTACACGAGTAACTCTCCACTTAGAGGATTCCATCTAGGACTAAATTCCTCAAACACCCTTGCCTTTTTTCTACGACCATAACAACAGACCACTAATGTGCTCCCAATCAGACTGTTACAGGCTTAACACATACATTACCCCCTCCCCCATGCAGGCAACCCCCTGCTGGGATTCTGCTCCCCTGTCATGACTATTCTACAAGTGTATCTCTACAAAAGGGGTAAAGACAGCACTGCCATCACATCTTCGAGAGACTTAGGTGGCAAGGCTTGATAATGAAGGGTTCCCCCCTCAGAGTTTCTTGATGAGAGGGACAGTCCTTGCTTGTCCAAACTGTTTATTGATGATGAAAATGGTGCATAAAACTTACGGTGGACCAGAGATTAAATACCTTTTGCAGGAAGGAATTCCGGGAAGAGAAGCTTATTGGCTGAATCTTTGGGGCAGGCCCATCCAGATACCTCATTAGCATGAAGAACTCTGGGTTCTATGCTACTCAACTAGTTGTCAAGGTCCTCATGTGGGATGTTGAGGTCAGCTACTTCAGGACAGGAACTGGGTCAAATGCCTACCATTCTCATGAGAACTACAGGGGTTTCTGAATCTCCTCAACTTTCCCAGTTTTTTTGTCTGGTGGCACAGGTCCACTTGCCCCACAGGTATATGGGATGGTTTGGAGGAAGGAAAGGCGAACATGTAATTATGTTATAATATCAAAAATAAAAGAAACATCTGAAAAAGGCATACTTTTGGCCTGGCAATTCTAATTCAGGGAATCTAATGTATAGTTATTCTTTTGTTTTGTTTTTTTTTTTTTTTTTTGTTCTTTGAGACAGGGTTTCTCTATGTATCCTCAGCTGTCCCAGAACTCACTCTGTAGACCAGGCTAGCATCAAACTTAGAGATCTATCTGCTGCTGCTTCCCATGTGCCAGGATTAAAGGTGTGTGACAACACCACCCTATTTATTCTACAGATGTTTATGCATGTGCTGATGACATACATATAAAATGTTTATGGACCCACTATTTGTATTAGCAAGAGAAAACAAAAATTCAATGTATAATAAAGACAGTCTGGTTCAATAGAGTATTTAATACATCTTTGCAATAGAATCCCATGCAACTATTTTTTGAGAATTTTATAAATGCATACAATGTGTTTTGATAAAAATCTGCCTCCTATTCCTGCCCCTCCAACTTATACCACCCGTCAATTTTTCCTTCCATCTTCATGTACTCTTTTTTTTTCTTTAACAAACAGTATAATCTGTAGTACCTATACATATATAGCCACATGGGTATAGGACCACACACTAGATTGTGAACAATCTATTAGGGATCATATCTCTGAAGACAACTGACTTTGGCTCCCTTGACTGCCATCTACTGCCAGTAGTACCTCAGCTCAGTGTGGGGCTTCTTGGTCCCTTCCCCAGTACATGCTGGGGGGTTGGATGGCTTAATCTTGTGCACATTTTATATAGCCATAGCTCTATGAGTTCTTATTGCAACAGCTCTCTCATGTCAGAAGATAATGTTTTAGAGCAATCCTTTCCAACCTCTGGCTCTTATAATCTTTCTGCACTCCAATATATGACAGCCTCTTAGCCTTTGTAGGAGGTCTAAGGGGCTGTCATATATGGGAGTATATGTAAATGTCCCACTTAGGGCTGAGCACTCCACTTACACTTATTTAAGAAAATAAGAAAGATCGCTCTTTCCAAGTTATATAAAGTGAAACAATGCCAGATAACATAAGCAATAAAGAAGGATGTTGCAAAATATTGTGCACAGACTACTTCACTCTGTGTGCCAAAACACCATGGGTTAGTTTAAAAACATAAACTCTGAAGTCATGGCTTAGACTATAACTGAATAAGACAAGGATTTCACTGTATACTCCTCTACCTCAAGTTTTGAACTCTATGAATCTTTTAACTTTTCACAAAAAAGGCAGTTACATTTTTAGATGTTGTAGAGATGCTTGTTTGCATGCATTTATATAAACATGTGAGAAAATCTGGAATGACCACACCCTTGACATGAAAAAGAAGTGATATGTCCATGTAGACTAAACCGTTGCCTTTTATTCTGTGTGGGAAATTGAGATTTCATAATCTCACATATAAACAGTCTTGTATTAAAGGGCTGGGACTGAAAGAGTAGATGTATGAAAGGCTCAACCTTGTTGTTAATTTGGTCTTCAGTTACATTATCCTCTTGAGTCTTTTTGATGGATTGACATAAGACCATGCCATTCAGGGAATTGAAATGAAACACTGAAGTGATTTTCCATCTTGTAACCAGCTCTGTGGAGACTACCAAAAATGAGCTGTTTAAAAGGAAAAAGTATGAGAAGATAGGTAGGAGAGTCATGCGGACATCTATTTCAAAGGTACAACTTATACTTTTGAGTTGTGTAGTCAATGGAGTTACTGAAAACAACTTGAGATTTAGAGTCAGAAGCTCTGTATTTAATGTCAGGGTACATACACATTACAGACTGTGGGACCTTGGTTAATGAGCTGTCTCTGTCAGATAATTACCTGCCCTATACTGTTATCTATCTCAACAAAGTTACTGAGAAAATAAAATGAGGTGATATATACAAAAATACATTGTAGGCTGGCCAGATGGCTCAGTGGGTGCTTAGAGCCAGGCCCAATGTCCTGCATTCTATCCCTGGAACCCATATGGTAGAAGGAGAGGACTGATTCCCACAATTTGTCATCTAAACACCACATGTGTGCTATAGCATGTGTGTACATACACATAGAGACACACACTAAATTAATAATTTTTTTTGAAAAATAGCGTGCTATAAACTCCAGTGAATTGCAAATTGTATCATAGCATTTAGTACCCATCCATGGTAGAAGACATAATGATAACTGGCTAAAATAGCTTTCATATATTGACATAAAGGACAGTTCCTCTCTTTACTCACAGAATCACATGAAAAGTTTGAAAAGATATAACTTCCAGAAATTCTTTGCTTCAAAATTCAGTGTTATGCATGTATTCTTATCTGTGCATGGGAAAATAGTGGCAGTCATTGCTCCATAGAAATACCAGAGAGTATATAGTAATAGGAGAAAAAGAGACATTTGGTGCTTACTTTTGTGATCTTGAATTCTGAAAAAAATGGATTAAAAGTGTCAACTTTTTTTTTAATTTCAGTTATCTACCTCATACTCTATCACGCCATTTTTGTGTTCTTTGCATGGACCTACTGGAAGTCTATCTTTACACTCCCACAGCAGCCAAACCAGAAGGTAAGAATATTTGTTGCTTCACAAAGTTAAGAACAAAAGAAACTAAAGATAATAATAAAACCAGAACAGGACAAAAGGAAGAACAAATAGCCTTCTTATTCAAAAGAAATTCCAGTTGTTTAGTATATTTTTTTTTAGACAAGGTCTCTCTGTGTTGCCCAAGCTGGCCTTGAACTCCTTGCCTCGAGTCACCCTCCTTCACCTCTCCTGAATAGCTGGAAATATGGTGACACACTACCTTGCCCAGCCAAGGATACACTGAAAGGAATTCACTCTGAGGAATTAAGGGTAGACTAGGCTATTAAAGGAGTTTGTGAAATTGCCAGCCTTGGGTATCTTTAAGACTAGAAAACCACTGTCTGTAATGGGGATTTGATTAAAAGAAAAAGCCATTATGATTCCGAGACCTCATCTAGTTCAATTCTATGGAGTTGTATTATCTTATAATGGCACCCATCAAGAAACTAAAAGGCAACTCTGAGAAAAGATTCAATTCTGAATCCATCCCTTTTAAGGTGTGGTCTCTTGAATCCATGTGTTTCTTGCACTATTTGTAAGAGATCAGAAAAAATGGAAGTAAAAAGGAACAATAGGAAAGATCTTACCAGAGCTATTAACACCGAAAAAAAAAATACTATTCTACGTTGTCTCATTCACAGATCAAAATAATACAAAATAAAAAATGTAAAGCACGTAGAAAGGTAATATATATAAAGGAGATGATGAGCAAAGTGGCAAGTATCTTTTCTTCTGAATGCTTAAAGTACAAAGGGGTTAATTTATTCATTTAAAAGGCTAAGATTGTTGGACATGGTCGCTCATCTTGTCATCCCAGAATTCTAGAGGCTGAGACAGGAAAATTGCCACAAATTTGAGGCCAATCTAGAGTACAGAGTGAGACTTTATCTCAAAAAAGTAATAAAATAAATAACACTAAAATAAATAATACTTAAAACATTACAGGACAAGGTATGGTGGCACACACCTTTAATACCAGCACTCTGGAGGCAGAGACCAGTAGATCTCTGTGAACTTGAGTCCAGCCTGCTCTACATAGAGAGTTCCACCACTAGAGCTACATAATGAAACCCTGTTTCAAAAAATGTATTATAAAAGTCTGAAATTAACAAACTAGATTAAAATCATATCTATTTAATCTGTCTACAATACAGCTAACATTAGTACCAAAGACATGAATAAGTTCACAATAAATGGTTAGAAAAATATATTATAAGCAAATAGTAATAAAAATCAAGGGTATCTATGTTAATTTCAAACAAAAGACTTTCATAGGGAAAAAAAGGAAGGGAAGGAAGAAAGAGAAAAGGGGACTGGAGTTGTGGTTCAGAGATACAATGTTTCTCTGGTATGTGTAAGGCTCTGTGATTGATCTATCACAACAAAAATATTTTCTTTGGAGAGAGTTAAGTCAATCACAAGAGAAAATGAAGTACAATATGTATTGAAAGGGGGTCAATGTGCTATATTTGAGTCTGTGATAGAGCATTTGACTAGCAGGTTCTTGGATATGTAAAGATTCAATTGATCAATATTTTAAAGTTTTTTTTAATTAACCTGAAAAAATAGAAGCAAAACCTGGGGAAATTCTGTTCTGCAATAATAGTTCAAAGACATCAGTTCTTGATGGAAACAGATATAGAGACTCATAGCCAAACATTAGGAAGAGCTCATAGAATCCTGTGGAAGAGGGAGAGGAAGGATTGTAGGAGCCAGAGGGCTCTAAGACACCAGAACATAGCCCACAGTGCACAGAATCACGTAAGCAGGGCTCATAGGGAATCACATGGACTAAAGCAACAATCAGGGAGCCTGTATGGGTCTGCCCTAGGTCCTCTGCATGTATTTCATGATTGTGTAACTTGATCTTCTTGTGGGACTCCTAACAGTGGGAGCAGGGGTGTCTCTGACTCTTTTGCCTGCTTTTCGGAGCGTTTCCTCCTGCTGGGTTGCCCTGTCCAGCCATGATATGAGGATATGTGCCTGGTCTTACTGTAACGTAATATGTCATGTTCAGTTGATATCCCTGGGAGGGCTACCCTTTTCTGAAGAAGAAGTAGTGGGTAGGTGGGGGCATTGGGAAGAGAGGAGAGAGAGAAAACTGTATTCTGTATATAATTTATGAGAAAATTTTAAAAAGACATTAGTTCTACATGTTCAATAGTGTGTAGAGTAAGTAGACAGGAGATCAAAAAGAAATGAAATATCTGAAATACACACACACACCACACACACACACACACACACACACACACTCTACACCCAAATATTAGGATATACATTTTTACATAGCATATAGAACATTTTCCAATACAGACAATCCATTCGGCCACCAAAGAAGTTCATACATTTAAAATATTGAAACCATCTAAGTGCAGTGAAATAAAGCTAGAAGTTAATAAGATGAAGGAAGCTACAGATTCACAAGTATAGAGAAATTAAGCACACTCTTTTATTAATTCTTAGACTATTTCATATAATGTATTTTGATGGTATTCATCCCAGCCCAACTCCTCCCAGATCTAACCCCATGCCTCACCCATCCAACCTTGTGGCCTCATCCTTCCTCATATTTAAAACAAAATCAAGTCCAAGTCCGTTTGTGCTACCTATGAACTATTCTTTAGTGTTTGGCCACCTGTGGAAGGTGGTCAGCCTACCAGGGACTACACCCTTTTAGAAGAAAAGAAAGCTGATTCTCTCTCCCAGAAGCTATCAATTGCCAATATCTCCTCAGCTATAGGTAGGACTTCTTTTTCCCTCTCCTTTCCAAGCTGGAATTTTGTCTGCCTTGAGCTTGCCCAGTCTTGTGCATGGCCTCCACAAGAGCTAAGTTCCTGTGTGTAATGACCCCATTGTGTTTTTTAAAAATGCTGCTTTAATGTATGCATCCACCACCACTGGTTCTTACAGTTTTTCTGCCCCCCTTTTCCTCGGTGATCCCTGAGCTTTGAGAAAGGAGGGTGCAAAATCGGTGTCCCATTTAGGGCTTAGAATTCTGCAGCCTCTTATTCTCTGCACCTTGATCATTAAGCGCACTCTGAACTAACAGATGAAATAGGAAATCGCAAGGAATTTTAAAAATAATTTGAGAGGAGTGAAGGTGAGATATGACATAATAAAAATTATAGGATGCAATCAAGCAGAGCTCACAGGAAATTTTATAGTTGTAAACACATTTAAAGGAAGAAGTATCTCAAATAATCTATTTAGATGTTTTAGAGAACTGTATAATTAAAAGCAACCTAAAGCCAAGGATATATAAAAAAAAAACAGTAAGAAGGGAGATAAAGCAAACAGTAAGAAGACCAGCCAAAGCATAAAAGACAGTGTCTTCAATTCATAGAATTGTTGTGTACAGTGTGCAGAATACATAAAGAATTGTTATAATTTAGCAACTTAAGATTAACCCAGTTGTGAAATGCAGAAAGATCCTAAATAGAGATTTTTTTTCTCCAAAGAGTATATATAATTGTTTGTTGAGGACATGAAAAAAAGTTCATGAGCCACATTACCAATTTAAAGAGATGCAAATCTAGACACCAACTACCAAGAAGGAAAACATTAAATGAACAAATGAATGAATGAAAAATACTGAATATTGATGAGAATGCAAAGTTCAAATTTGCCTGGGAATATAGACTGGTAAATACGCTGTGCAAAATAGCTATGCTTTTCCTAATAAGGTTAAATATGGAGTTGCCATGTGACACAAAAGTTCTATTCATAGTTATGTACTCAGCATAATTGAAGGAAGCATTTAAATAAATACCTATGCACAAATTTTTATTGCAACACTATAACCATAGCCAAAAGATGGAAACAACCCAAATATTTATCAGTGCCAGTGGAAAAATTGTTTGAGGAAGTACGGTATGTTTGCATTGTATATACACACCCCAGAATATCATTGGACATAAAAGATAATCCAGTACTGACATATGATACAACATAAATGAACTTTGAAATGTGGCCATTGAAAGACACCAAACACCAAAGGCCATACTGTTTTGAAGGCAAATTCTGACAGAAACTTATACAGCAGATATTGGTTGCAGTCTGCCTAGACATAAGGGAATAAAGAATGACAGCTTAATAAAGTAAAGGGTTTTCTCTCAGGTGATGAAATGTTTCTGAACTAGGCAGTTTTGTTTGCACCACACTGTGTGTGTGTGTGTGTGTGTGTGTGTGTGTGTGTGTGTGTGTGTGT